TGGATGCATGAGACAAGTGCTCAGGGCTGGTGCACTGGGAAGACCCAGAGGGATGGGATGGGGAGGGAGGTGGGAGGGGGGAGCGGGATGGGGAACACATGTAAATCCATGGCTGATTCATGTCAATGTATGGCAAAAACCACTACAATATTGTAAAGTAATTAGCCTCCAACTAATAAAAATAAATGGGAAGAAAAATTAAAAAAAAAAAAGAAGTTTTTGTAATGTGTGATTTGTCAGTTGTCTTATTTCATTTGTTACTTTGAATTTAAAAAAAAAACAAGACACAGGAAATGGTCCACTGCCTTGTCCAAAAAGATATCAGAAGATAGCATTGGGGATAAAGTGATCATTCAGAAAAAGAACAATGGGAAGATGACTTGGAAAATGATTTTTTTTTTCATGTTCCTTCCCAGGTGCTTTTCAAGCTGGGGTCATTCACCTTGGTTTTCTGTTCATTTTTATGAGTACGATGAATCCATGCATGATCGTCTTAAAGGTCAATTGATGAGCTTCTCTTTTTCTCCCTTGCAGCATTGCTATGGCAACAAAAGAAAATATGACTTCACAGAGAGGAATGTTGAAATCAATTCAGAGTAAAATGAACACTTTGGCCAGTATCCTTTATGACAGTTTGAAATCTGTGTTTTTGGGGGCGGAAATCTCCATGTGCTTCACCACTGTCTCCCTCCCTTGGGCAGATTGCCGTCATCAGTGACAGTAGAAGTCATCTGTAATTCTGTATTATGAATATGCCCTGCACTTTTACTTTGTGAAAGTTCATACTGTTTAGTGCCATTTCTTAAAGATAGCATACCAGAAGTTTCATACTAGTAGATCTAGAAAAAAAATGATAAATATAATTTCCAAATTATTCACAAAATTATTTTGCGTCTTAAAAGCTCTTGAATCCATGTTAGAACTCTACAGTGTATGCTGTTTTTACACAGAGGTCATAAATTTTGTGCTTTTTTTTTTCATTTTGGAGAATAAGTCAGTGGCATATGTTTAGAAAGGGAGGGAAGTAGACAGCCACACGTGTAAGCGCTGATCACTGTATTTTCTTTTTTGCACAAGCTGAACTCTAGTAGAGATTTGCTGCTTGTTTGTTGTGACCTCTGCCTTTTTTAGGTCTTCAGCTTCCCAGTTTAAATTAGTACTACTCATATTCTGAGAAATCCAGCAGGGAAACTGCTGAGACCAAAAACATTCCGTTTCCTTTGAGGAGTCAAGCCTTTTAGAGAAAAAAGTTTCCTTCCCCGATTACTTAATAGGGAAAGGACCTATAATTTCAAAAGTTGAGTATCTTCTGATCCTAGATAATTTGAGGTCACTTTTAGTTTGATCCCTTATTTACCTAAGGAAAAGAATATCATGAAGTGTATTGATATTTTCCAGTTTTTGGTGAATTTTGTTCCTGCTTTGTCACCCTAAGTATAAAACCATACATCTAAAATCATTTCTGTTTTATATAGGGCTTTGCAGTTAGTAGAGTACTCTGATATACATTATCTCCTTTTATCAGTACCATAAATTAGAATCATTTCCAAAAATATGTTTTTAAAAAATCAAATAAAATGGGTTTAATTAGTTAGAACTCTATAGAAAGATAATAATAGAAACCTAATTTACACTGACCTAACGAGGAAAAGGAGGGAATTGTTCATATGTCTGTAAAATTCAGGGGTAAAATTTGGCTTAATGGATGGCTGGGATGCAGAGGCTCAGATTTTATTATCAAGAATCTGCCTTTCTGCTTTCTGTTCCCCTCCTCCATCTCTCATTTCTGTTTACTTACGTGATGGCCTTATTCTCAGGTACATTTTCTCCTCGTGCTGATAAGAGATGGCTAACAGGGTCACCTCCTGCCAGATCAAAAATTATGGAATTTCTAACAACTCTGGCACATGTCCAAAGAGGACTGTGGTTGCCCTCACTTGAGTCACTGCCTAACCCAGCCACTGGCCAAGGGGAGGGACTCTTCCCTCTTGCCAACCCTGAGTGGGTATGTACACCTGATGGCAGAGGACAGCATCAGCCCAACCCAGTTACATGAACTGAATTAGATTATTAGAGAAGGAGCAGTGAGATTCCCCTAAAAGATAAACTAGGTAGAAATGTGTTCACTACAGACAGGGTTTCCTTCCTATTGTCAAAAGTTTCCTTATTTCTTCTAAGGGCAGTGTTGACCCTTGTACCAAGCCAGAAAAGATTAAGCATCTGCTTTATATGAGATTCATACCTGACACCATGTAAGTTTTTGTAGTCAGAAACCACTGCTGGAAATGCAAAACAGCATAGGATGCACAGGCATGTGCTTTGATTACAACATACTACCAAGTAAGATAGGAAGATACCTTACAATACCAAATAAAATACAGTTGTGACTACTGTAAAACTCCTGAAACTAAAAGTTTCCTCTTTCCCCACAAAGGGCAGTCAGAGCAGTTTAACCCACCTTCTGACCCTATTCCTGCCTACTCCTGCTAAGTGAATTTAAAATTTTTAAGTAATTAACCAGTGTTTGATTATATAGACCCTTAGAGTTTGTTCCCACCAATTGTCTGAATCCAGGGGGGCTTATCACCCTGTGGGGAGATCATGTACTCCTCAAAACCCTTCTGGAAGAACTTCCCTGTCTCCTCAGGAAAGGGATTTAAGAGCGAGAGAGAGAGGAAGAGAAGGAAATGCAGGGTGGTGGTGGTGGTAGCTGGCTGTACCTCTGCCTCCCTGCCCTGCAGGGTTCCTTCGTTCCTGACCACACTGGCTCCTACCCAGACGGTAATCCCTCAGTACATGGCAGCAGTCATCACTGCTGTCTCCTCCTCTCTCTCAGGGTTTTCCTTTTTGTTATTCTTACTCGTGTCCTGCAGTGCACCAAGGGACTCAGATTTGCCTGGGCCTTTGAGCGTAAGGCATTGGTATGTGCCACAGCTCCCTCATTGTGAGTTTCTTCCCCTCTGCTTCTTCTCATCATTTGTCTTTCTGGGCTCGACTGGTCTGTTTTTTGTGATTCCTGTGACTTTTCATTAAAGAGGCTTCTTCTACATATGACCTTAATAAAGATTTCCCAAAGATCGTTTTCCTGCTGTGAACAGCCTCATCCAGCGAATCAACCTTAGGAAGCGGCGAGACTCCCTCATCCTGGGTGGTGTTATTGGCGTCTGTACCATCCTGTTGCTGCTGTATGCATTCCATTGATGGGACATCTCCAGGGACTCTTGACAGCCACCACTTTCACACCCTGATCCAGAAGAAGAAAAAATAGGAAGGAGAAGTTGACTGACCTGCTAATTAGCCTGACCGGCAGGATTCATTCAAGACTGATAGTGATGGACTCTGACATGGTCAGGTTGAGCGGAAGTCACAGGTTTTCTGTGCTATCTTTTCTAACACACATTTCCCTCTGTTTTTAGTTTCTAAAAAAAAAGATGTTTTGTCTCCTCAAGAGGTAAGTAAACCCATCAGAAACAGAATTTCCATGCTTCAATGATAGTGTTGAAGGCTGATGACAAGCCAGGTCATGAGGCTGGACTCTTCAAAAAGCCAGGTTTCTCTATATCCAAAGACTGCTTTCCTTTCAGCCACCAGATGGAGTTGTGAATAAAAATAACTTTTTCCTTTTATTTTACACTCATGATGAGAAATCCCAAGTCATTTCTTGATAATCTGTGATATAAATTTCTACTCTGTCCCCAACTTTTTTGGTGTTCAAGGAAAATGGCAATTTTCAAAGAATCGTTGAGATTTTCACAGGCCATCTTCAACACAGTTGAGGTTATCTGAAACAGAAGACAAACACTGCAAAAAAGACTTTATCTTGTTTTTTAATCATGCCCACACTCGGGTTAACTGTATTCCTGGAAAAACCATCAAGAATGACAGGCTTTTTTTTGGTCAGTCATTGTTTTTTACTTTTTGTTAATTTCTTCTATTGAGTAATATCTATTACTACAAGAAAACAAAATTCCAGTTTTATCAAGACAAAAAGCCAGTCAATGCCCCTAACTTGTCCTCCTCATGTCATGATTAACACTGACAACTAAGTGAGGAAAATGCTTGATTTTCCTTGTGATCTCTTCAACAAGCCACATGTAAAAAGACAGTGAGGGGCCACCATCCAGATGATTCCATTTGTAAATGTTCCACATGTAGGAGCAAAAGTTTAAGAACCCCTGTCTTATGTACCAGGAATTCTGTGCTCTGTGAGAACCTATTCATTCCAAATCTGTTAGGCTTTCCCAAACATTCAGAGAATGAGGGGCTTTACTGCTGAAGGAGAAAATACCAGAATCTGTTTCTGTCTGCACTATCAGAATATGTCTTCTGTTACCACCCTGGACAGTGACAAAATCTTAAACCATCCACCAGAATTGTTTTCAAGTTTAACCATTTCCTGGTTTCTGTAAATGTTACGACCTTTCTAACTGAACTACCACAAATAGGTCGAAGACTTCCAACATCTGCTGTTCTTACCAAGAAAGAAGGCTCCTCTTCACCTCTGGAATGTACTGTGGTGTTTATAGTATTGGCTTGAGACCATGCCACAGGAAATAAAAGGATATTAGCATGTAGTTCTTCACTCCATCACAGTGTGTTGATGGTGCATTCAGATGAACTTGATTATAGGCTGATCAGTAGACTAACCTCTGGTTGGGGACAGTAACTGAGAGGTTTTTCATTCTGGCATTAGAGTTTCATTATGTTCTGGGTATGAAGAGCAATTGATATATTTTTTTTTAACTTAATGGGGTTTATTTTTCTAAATATGGATTGATTGATCAATCAGTTGATTGGGGATGCCCTTAAAAGAAAATTTAAGTTTTCCCACTGTGAACCTTGAAAGATCAGAGAATTAAGTTCATTTATTAAATTGTCTCCTGGGAGAACAAAACTTCTCTCCCCTGACTCTTTATTTATCTTTGATTTTTCAAAGGGTCTTTATCGGTGGTTGTGCCTCAGCTAGAATTTGTGGGACTTTGGTTGCTATATAGTCAGCATTTATAAAATCTGAAGTATCATAAATAAAGTTATTTATTTAATTATACTACCAGTGTTTTTTACTGGTCTGATTATTTGGTGTGTTCATGAAAGCTGATGGTGGCATATGAGTAAAACTAGGACCCGTGCTAATCTAGCTTGCTGCAGCTAAGCAAACAAACGCTTTTGATAGCTGGTAAGCCTTTCCATTAGGGTCATGCTTAAATGAAGTAATAGAATTATGTTGATTATTTTCTTTATGAAAATAAACAAGTTCTTCTAAGGAAGTTGAAAAAGTGTGGTGTAGATGTTGGTGTCAGACAGGTCTGACTAACCTCACAGTGGTGTAACCCATAGTGAGGTGACCCAGGACAGAACGTAGGGCTCGCTTCTCCTCTTCGGTCCCTTCCTTTGTGGAAGGAAGCCCTGGAGGAGGGGCAGACGTGTGCCATCAACAAGCAGAGGCTCCCTTTGGGTCCCATGGTGGCTGATTTGAACTCTCTTCAGTTTCGTGCCATTTAGCCTTTTTTTTTCTTTTTTTTAAACAGCTTACTTTTCTCAACCTTTTGCTGTCGTTACAAACCAGTTACTAGGCTCAGGGGCCAACAGTAAGTTGCTTATTGGAGCCAGGTGCAAGGAGTTTTCTATTCCTTGTCCCAAATGTTGCCCGTTACAGGAAGTTATTCTCTCAGTCATGTCTTACATAACCCATGTCTTTTAGGGATCTTAAATCACTCAGAACTTCCCATTTCACTTGAAATGAGAAATCATGGTAACAAAAAGGGCAGGAGATTTCAAAAGGTATAGTTCTCTGAGAGTTTGCTTTACTGTGTGCCAGTAACTTTAGTTTAAAAATGGTTAATGAATCTATTTCTCAAGTTCAAGCCCAGATACACTATTAACGATTCTGAGGGAGTCCCTGTAACAGGCAGTATTGCTCACCCAAATTTTTCTAATGTTAGAAAAGGGCTTTTCTTCTCCATTCTTCCTTTCTCCTGCTTGCCAAAATTTTCTAGAGAATGTCTTTTTACATCCTGCCCAGTACTCATATCAGCCATGGGAGTATGACCCTGAGAGTGGAGATGGGTAATGAGAGAGAGAAGTCAGCATGAGAGCCCTTTTGGTACCTGGAACCAAATAATACTGACTTTAGTTCTTTCCTGTTGGATGTGGAATAGAAAAATGTACTTATTGAGCCTTTTGATGCAATGACTTTTGGCCTCTGTGGAACTGAGGCACCTTGGACTTGCATTCCCACCATGAATTTTTCTGTTTCATTGTTAATGATCTCAACCTGATGAAAAGGACTTTAAAGAACTGGACTAGCCTTTTTGGTTTTCTAATACCTCATGTTTGATCACTAGCCAGATATGATTTCTTGGAAACCGACTGCATTTTCTAACTTGCAATATGAAGCTATTGAGGGTGAATGGCCATGTCTAGTGTTACACTGAATTTTGTGGCAAATGTAAAGAGGAAATGGATTCTACTGGGAATTTAAATGATTCTGTTCCATTCTTCTTTGGGGATAGGAGTTGTTTAGCCTGGTCTCCAAAAAGATACAGCTTTTCATCATGATCTTTATAAACTAATCTTACTCCTTTATGAACCTGCATACCCATAAGTTTTATAGGGCAAAAGAAAATGAGGAACCAGTGACTCTGAGGATGTTACTGGATAAGAAGCTGAGACAGCTGAGCCATGTCCTGAGGCATCTTATTTTCTTTGTGTCTACTGCAAAGTGTCACTTTGGTATCAAAGTATTTGCATCTATTCCTGTCCTTTTAGCTCTTAGAGAGGAAGAGAAATCAATTCCAATCACACTTTACCATGATGGAAGATGTTTCCTCATGAAAAAAATGCCAATACAGATTTTTAAAAATCTATTCCAAATGCACTTTTTAATTTTTTGCTTTTAAAATGGCTTCTTGGAACCAGGTTTATTGTATTTGTACTTCATTTTTGTTCTCATCTAAATGTGCGTTTTCTGACTGTATAGAAGAAGCTTTGTTATGTAATTTAATAATAAATTAGAAATCTGAATAGTGTGTCTGTGGTTCTTTGTATTGGAACAGTACCATTGAGGCAGTTTAGGAGAGTGATTATGACATCTTTGGTGTTAATCAGTGTTTCTCACAGCGTTCTGAAACCCAAGGTGAAGTAATATGGACTGGAGCTAACAAACTATCATTCAAAAACATCATAGGAATATTCCACTAATAATTTAGCCCAAGAAGTGAAGGAGAATCTCTCTTATCAGAGTGAAACTTCAGGAAGTATGACAAAAATGCCTAATTGTAGAATTTAGCAAGAAAAAGAGGTCCTTGCCCTCCCTAAAGAATGACATTTTATCCTATAGATCAGGAATTGGTTCTCTACCCCCAGGAATTTGAGAATTCCTCATTTCCCATTGCCTCTCCAAACATTGGCACTCGTGTATTTCTGCATCCTTTTTAAAAATAACAGTAAAATTGAGATATAATTCACATATCACAAAATTCACTCTTTCGAAATGTACTGATGGATTTTAGTATGTTAGTTGTGCAGTCAGCACTACTGTGTAACTTTAGAACATTCACATCACCCTGAGAAGAAACCCTGTCCCCACTGGTGATTCCCCAGTCCCCTGTATCCCTTGTGTCACTGTTTTTCCTTTGTGGGCCACTCCAACTTTTCAAAAAGTTGCTCAAAATCAGAGTGGACAGTTAAAAAAGGATTTGAATCTTGAGAGCTCTTTGCAGTTCTGTCATAGTTGTGCAAAATATATTTTAACTCAATGTCAAGAAGCTATAGAAGAACTACCAATTTTGCCTGATTTTATAGGCAATGCATTTAGAATATTTAAAGCCCAGTGGCTCATTTTCAAGGAATGCTAACTACTAGTCAAGTGGTTCATAAAGGGTTCTCCTTTGTAAGTTACTATTTCTTTATGAGAACTAATTCACTGAAGTTGTAGGGGAAAAAAAATTTTTTTTAAGTGTCTTTGAACCAAACTTCCTGCCCATTTCTTCTAGTTTAGAACCTCAGAGGTCTTCTTCAAGGATGAGAACTGAGGCTGATCCTGAAGAAGCACCTCAGGACGGTCCTCGGTCAATGCCACCCAGACCATGTGGTGCCTTTCCCTTCAGGTGCCTTCCTTTAACAGGTTGCCAGCTCCTACTTAACCTGGATGTTCCTTAGGATCCGAGGTTCTACCCCATCATGCCTCCTCTGCTACCAGAGATGCCTAGAAGTTTAAAAAAAAAGTCAGGGAATCTCACCAAAGGTGTTTGCTTTCAGGACATTTTCTCTAAAGCAAGAGCCATGAGAAAAACAAGTGTATTCCTCCTCCTTCCAAAGACAGATTTGCCGACTGAGTTGGAACAGAAAGGAATACACTTCAGCCCGACACCTTCTGCTCCACTCGGCTAAGATTTCCCACTTTGGCAGAGCTGATGAGCTTGCAAAGCTCTTTATTACTAACTCTCCAAAGACACTTAAAAGCCAAGAAGATTGGGGGCTGAAAGGCTGTCATAACTTTCTGCTTAGAGGAATCCCAGAGATCAACAGTGTTCTCGTCATCCTTGTAAAATTGCCTACTAATTTGTGATCCTGATCTATGCTATTCATTTTCCCTCCTTTGAGATATACAGCTCTTTAGGAAACAGTCACTTTCTCTTAATTAGTACATTTCTTTTAGATTCTCTGAAACATCCAGTGAGTCTTTTACTGATGAAACAGCTTGAGGGAGAGCAGGCAACTATGGTTGGAAGCTCCTTTTAACTCAGAGCCAAGAAAATACGGTTTAAACGTAATTATTTCCTGCAAAGTGACAAGTTCTCTCTTAGTAAATGTGGCACTTTTTTTTTAACAGTTCTCATTAAGGATAACACACACAGACTTCCCTGGTGGTCCAGTAGCTAAGACTCCATGCTCCCAATGCAGGGGGCACAGGTTTGATCCCTGGTTGGGGTAATAAGATCCTGCATGCTGCCAAAAGAAGATAACAGTCTGAGAATATAGCATTTTGGGGGTTTTTGCCCTGGGGTCAGTTCTGAGTCCTCTCCCACAAGCTGGGGCCCTTGTGGAGACCCCATTTCCAAACCACACACAGCAGCCACCCTCTAGACAGGGTGCTCTGCTTCCCATATAACCTCTCTCCACCTGCTCTGCACATAGGTGCCTAGTTTATCTTCCTAAACAAGTTCTAATCTCTCATCATTCTGTTCAAGAATATTTGGCAGCTTCCTTCCATCCTTGCCAATGTATTATAGCACATTAACATGTGGAATGTACACCCAGTATTTCGCTTTGTACATGCATGCATGCATACACACATCACACATACAAAATCCTGTTCTCTTAGTGAGGGAGCCTTCTCCTTTTACATATAAACAAGCCCAAGAGATCAGAGTCCTCCTGATAGCCATCAGCTGCCCTTTGCCTAACTAGTGTTTCCTTCTCTCTCGAGAATCATCAGAGCCACCGGATGCAGTGATGGAAAGAACAAGGCATGGAGTCAGAAATCCTGTATTCTGGCCCTGGATGTGATGCTCCTAGACCAAGGGCAAGTCACTACACCACTTTCAGTTCAATTTTCTTATCTGCAAAATGGACTCTAGCAACTTGATGCAGCGGTTGAGAGCAAATCAAAGTAACAGTGGGACAAAATTGCTCAGAATGTTTTCAAGAAAAATGTGGGCTGCTCAGACAGCAAAGAATCTGCCTGCAATGCTGGAGACCTGGGTTTGATCCCTGGGTTAGGAAGATCCCTTGGAGAAAGGAATGGCTACCCACTCCAGTATTCTTGCCTGGAAAAATCCCATGAAAGAGAAGCCCAGCAGGCTACAGTCCATGAGTCACAAAGTCAGACATGATTGAGTGATTTTCACCTTCACATCACCTATATAAAGATGTTGATAGTAGCACTGACTGTAAAAGAAAGATGATAAGTAACCTAAATATCCATCAGAAGGAGGATGGGTAAATAAATTATGCAAATCTCTATCATGGAATACTATGCAGCTGTTAAAAAAGAAAGGTAACTTGCTATGTACTGATATTGCATGATCCCCAGGATATGTTAAGTGAGGAAATGATATGCCTCTCCCCCAGGGAATATTTGGCAAATTCTGGAGACATCTTTGGTTGTCATAACAGGACTGGGGTGGAGTAGGGTGGGTGCTTCTGGTAATGGGTAGAAGCCAGAGATGCTGTGAAAAAAATTTACAGTGCAAAGGAGAGCAAAGAGTCATCAGGCTCCAAAATGTCAGTGGTGCCAAGGTTGAGAAACCCTAGCTCAAACTGCATTCATCTTAAAGTTGACAGTATCTTCCCAGACTTGAAGATTACTCAACTGTGTCCCAGCACCACTGATTCCTCTTTACCACCCTTGACTGACTCGAGCTGCTTAACAGACCCAGGTGGCATCGTGATCTTCCCCTCCCCTCCTGCCTTTCCTTCCTGCCTCATCCCATCACTTCTTCACCTCTGCAACACACACATTTGCACCATCCCGAGTGACCTGATGTCCCAAGGGCTTTGTGAATTTCCTCTTTTGGAATGGCCTCCTTTCCAAGCCTGCCTGTGAAATGCTTGCTTCTTGTTTTTAAACTCTATGTATGGGTAGCTAATGGCGGGCGCTTGGTCCGCGGATAGTGGTGAATGATGCTCCTCTACCAGCCGTACATGTGGCCACAAGGGCAAGTGGGGCGACTCCTCGCTGTTAGGCAAGCGGCTCTCGGAAGACTCGAGCCGCCAGCAGCTGCTGCAGAAGTGGGCGAGCATGTGGAGCCCCGTGAGTGGAGACGCGTCGGTGGCCTGCTCCGAGAGGACGCAGCGCGAGCAGGCTGCGGAGCCGGCGGAGGAGGACAGGCCGCTGGTGTGTCTGTGCTCGCGCTGCCGACGGCCGCTGGGAGACTCGCTGAGCTGGGTGGCGAGCCGGGACGACACCAATTCCATCTTGCTTCTCTGTGTTACCTGTAATGTTTCTGTGAATGAGGAACAGATACTATCCAAACGTAAAAATGAAAATGGTTGCATCCTGGAGACTTTGCACTGCACAGGATGTTCGCTCAACCTCGGCTACCTGTACAGGTGTACACCCAGGGATCTAGACTACAAGAGGGACTTGTTCTGCCTCAGTGTTGAAGCTAGTGAAAGTTATGTTTTAGGGCCGTCTGAAAAGCAAGTTGTGTCAGAAGACAAAGAGCTTTTTAATATTGAAAGTAGAGTTGAAATAGAAAAAGCAGATGGAAGATGTTTTGAAAGCCTTGCAAACAAAGCTTTGGGAGGTCGAATCAAAACTGTCCTTTACCAGTTGTAAAAGCTGAATTGGTTCCAAGGCCCACGTTCTGCAGTCCTCTGCTGATGGAGAGTTCTTTCACATGTAGCAATTCTTGTTATAATTTACTTCACTTAGAACTGAAAGAATTGGAAACGTTCATGTACACTGTATCCTCTTGTACTGATCAGCTGGTCACATGAGAAGAACTGTAGAACTTTTCTGGATGTGTTTGATTGTAAAGAGGTGATTGTTTCCTAAACTCCAGTTTTAAAGCCATGATAATTGCTGGAATTTAAGAGTTGTTGTTTTGATAACAAACTCTTATAATTTTTTGAAGGGTTTTCTTCTCTGTACCAAATTCGTGATTTTTTACTTACTATTTTTTAACTTTATTCTCTGTACTGAATTTGTTATTTTTTATTTCCTATTTTTTAACTATATTTCACTTTTAATAGTTTGAGCACTGTTTAATCTTGAGTGCTTAGAAAATCTTAGAGGTTTTTCCATCCACTGTGTGGTTGAATCTTCTTTGAAAACTAATGAATAAGCTTTCTGGAGAGGAAAAAAAAAACTCTGTGTATGGGAAGTAACTGCTTATTGGGTATGGCAATTCCTTTTGGGGCGACAGAATGGAAATGACATATGGGGACAATTGCACAATGATGGGAATGTTTTAAAAGCCACTGAACTGTGCTCTATTATTTTTTCTCCTTTTTCTCTTTTTTAAAGAGGTTTTTATTTTATATTGGAATATAGCTGATTAACAATGTTGTGATAG